CCCCGATATTCTACTTCGCCATCGTGCTAACACCGACAGAGGATCATTGACCGCATTGAAGACCATAGTTCGATAGCTGATTCTCTGCTCATTGTAAACCACAGGATCAAGTGTTTCAAGAGGAGGCAACGCCTAAATGTAAAGTTCAGTCAAATTCAAAACATTCCCACTCATCTGCGCCACTTACGTTTATCATTGCTTGTATAGCTACCTCCACAACTCGTTTCCATCCCTCGCACTGTAAATCGTGAGAACACCAGTGCGTCACAGAAGAGCATAGATCACCAAGTTCTTTCCTACAACAATTGGTATCTTCTACCGAAGACAATCCTGGTTGGATTACCTTCCCACTTACCTTATAAATTGTGTTAACAGCACCGAATTTGGTGCCAACCGCCAGAGCTGTTTTGCAAGCGATTTCAGTCCATGTTGAGACAACTGTGCTATTGATAGGGTTCTCATCGTTGGATCAAAGTCAATATCTTGCCAGAATGAAAGGAAAACGGTTGAGAATGCACCATTAAATCTCAGCGACGCAACCTTTGAGATTTCCAGTTTATAAAAAAGAAGGTAATGAAAGCTAAAATTCTCAGAAAATACCTTTCTGTCTTCTAAGTAATTGCTGTTCAACAACGCCACAACTTGCGCACATTCCCTGAACAAATCTTCTCTCCACTTGAGTGCCATCAATATTTGCTGGCCATTAAATACTTGCTCTTCCTAAAATATTATTTCTTCAAGACTCTTAAAAATTCAAAATTATGAAAAATTCAGCCATAAGCACACGTACTGCGTCAAAAGCTCGTGTAACAAAGAAAGTGTGAAGTTTCCTCATGAGCATGATTAGATGCAAAGTTTTGGAGATAACAGATTGCTTCTGTATGAAGATTGTATTTTCCTCATTGTTAGAGTGAACCTGAAGTTCAGGCTTTTCCATGTCAACATCGAAAGTTGGGAAAACAGTGGAGCCAAATCTAAAAAAAATGCTCTGCAAATATAATTGTATAAAATCGCTTCAAGAGATGGTTGACATGCCTTTGGCACTCTTCTTCATTGGTGAATGGATCAACTAGTCGATATTTTTCGTATAACGGTAAATATTTATCCACATAATGCTGATGGGCTTCCGCTGGCCAACCTTCGCTCATCTGCTGCGTTAATCTTGAGAGAGGATCACTGAAAAACAAAAGCTATATGTAACGTCGAAGAAAGCTTGTAAGAAAAAGGATAAATTCGAGAAATCAGTTCTTCTTTCGCAGTAAGAATTAGAGGCGACCAAACTTTCCACGTTTTTCCCCGCTGAAAATAACACCTATCGCCTCGTCCGTCCATCTTCAAATATTGGACCTGCCCTGCCCTGCCCCTCCCCTCTTTCGCAAAGGAATGTATTCTGCGAGCAGCACTACACTCTCGACATAAACTACTTTTTTGCGTTTTCAGTACTTGAAACTCAACAGCAAAAATTATGAAACCTTCTCTTTGGATGTAATACGAAATAATGGATTTAGGCTTCCTCAACTCCCTAAACATTCAGACGCATCAGTAAAAAAAGAGAAAAGAGAAAGCGTAGTCGTATAGATAAT